GTGTTGGCTGCTCGCCATAACAAAGGGTAGAGCTGTTTCGAATGAAGTTGCCTGCGTTCCTGCTGGACAGCCGCCCTCCTTATTCCTTTACGAATTTCATCATAAGTTTTGCTAAGTATAAAGTGAAGAATTTCCTAGATTGTTATGATGGATACCTTGTTAACAACAGTGCCTTTGAACATTTTAATATTCACTTAATATACCCAAACCAAATGACTGGACTTCTGTAGGAAATAGGCCTTTTCTGAAACTGCCAAAACAGATATCTACGAGGAAAGCTAAGAAAGAACATGCTATTTTGTAACTTTATTTTATTTTATTTTATTATTTTTTTGCTATTTTTAGTCCAAAGGGATTTGAGTCCCGAAGGACTATTACTTTCGTTTTGGCATTTTGCGTCGGACTCCTATAAATGTCGGTTCACTTTTCAGACTGTTGCCACAAATGTTAGAGTCCTGCATGATATTTGAAGAAATTAAATAATGAAAAATATGCATAAATGTATGATATTTATCGCATTGTGATAAAAACGGTACATAGAGCCATCGAATTTTGAATGACTTAATCCTCCAACGAATATGGGGATGTGGAACACCACATTTGAAATTTGAAATTTGTTTTATAATCAATTTCCTATTCTTTAAATCTTTAACGAATTTTTGATTAACAAACTCAAGGATTTCAAAGCGAGCAATGGTAACGTTATGCAGAAAAAACATTTTTTATCTCCGGCGCGTGAGTTTTTGTATCGGAAATTCTAAAGATATGCTCATTTTAAAACTATTTTGCGATATTCCTGTTGAATTGAATTTTATGGTTAAGTACAAGAATATGATGTTTTTTAACAAATAAAGATAACGCACAAAACGTTAAAAAAACGTAATTTAATTTGGACGTAATTTAAAATCTGAAACATTTCAGATTTTTTTTTTTTTTTTTTTTTTTTTAGGTTTTCAGATACGCTTTAGAAAATATAAATTAGAAAACTACAATTCTGTTTTTCAAACAGAAATGTATATGATATTTTATTCCCTAACATCGATTTAGAAACTATATTGACAAAACATAAATTAATATTTATTCGAACAGTTTATCAGGTGTGTAATCACTCTTCGACCCAGGTAACAGTTTTTTAGAAATAAAAGATAAGATTAAACGATTAGTACTCATGAGATAAAATATAACTACTCAAAGGGTACTTACTCATAAGACAAATATGAGTAGAGTTAAAGAGTTCATGCTGGTTACATTGGCAACAAAGGAAATACACTGGAGCAAAATATGCTGCAACTCATAATGAAGCAATCTGTATAGAGGATCCTGGTTCTGGGAATAAAGTCACCATTGAAACGAAAAATCAGATTCTGAAAAACTGAGAGGCAGAGAGTAGTAGCTTTAAAAAAAAGGATTATTTAGTAAGCAATTTTTTCCTTCCTAACCGTGTGCTTTCGTAGTGCAATTCGAGAGCATGTCCGACTAACACTCGAAGGTTCGCAATTTGAATGCAGATGAAAATAACGCAGTTTTTCTTTTCTTTTCTTTTTTTTCCTGCGAAATAACTTTAGAAGTGTCATCAGAATAACAACAATAACATAAACAACTATTGGACCATACTTTTGTTACCCCCTGGATTTAGCTACTGAGTTTCGACCTCGTCAGTTACTCTTTAGATTGAGGAGAACATAAGGAATTGTCTTCTTCCTTGCCCGTGCTTTCATTGAGTAATTAGAAAGCACGTCCAGCTAGCATCGAAAAGACCGGAGTTTCAATCAATGAGGGTATCGCTGATGCTTTTGTTTTTCTTGCTTTTAATTAAACCCAATGCGTTTACAATATGATTTGATTCAATATATGTGAAAAAGGGGAAATTAACAGAAATATTGATTATAATAAAATAATTATTGGCCGCGGGAGATTTCCGGTGTGCCAAGTTCAAAGTTCAGAATTCAGAAATATGAAACATCTATGGCAGAATTAATGACAATAAATATTTCAGGTCACAAGAGTGTTGAAAAACATCTATGGCAGCATTGATAAGATCCATTTTTTTAAACGCGCAAACTTTAACCAAAAGAATTGTACAGTTTGCGCGGAAAGTTATGCATGTAGTCAATACCAACAAAATACAAATAAACATCGCTTCCTGAGTTCTTCCTTTTAATTTCTTTTTTGCTCGTTTGCTTTTTGTCTTTTATATTTATGTGCTTTTCCTTAAAAAGTTTTTCCTTTTTAGGTGTTTTTCCTTAATTCCTTTTCCAAAGTAGGCATTACTCCCTTAATTCTTCCTTACAGGTTTTTCCTTGTTTCTGTTTTATCTCAAATACGAAGTGATATACATTAAAAATTAACAATATTGTGATTATAAATTTCCACAGTCGATTTCACTGTTCTTGATTTGCAAGAGGCATTTTTTACGGACTTGAGAATTTCAATAAATATCAACAAATCACATGGAGCTCTATTTGCCAAAGATCGATCACATATTCTACCGCCAGCTAACAATGTTAATGAAGAAGAAAGATGTTGGAAACAAGAAGTTCAAGGTATCATACTTGATAACAAATTCACTTATAGACCTCAGTTTGCCAACCTCAGAAATGAATTTAGTATTTCTGTTGCTAAATTAAGGCTTCAATAGTTTCTCAGAAAATACAGCAGTATTTCACAATTAAATAGTGTTATATAAATAATCAAGACAACCTTACTTTACACCTTCCATATATGGAGTCGTGTCTCAGAAACAGATCTCTATAAAATATATTTCGGAAAATTAAAACTTTTCAGAGGAATTACCAACGCTACTTGGTTTTTAAGAATTAGCACTTTACATTCCAATTTAAAATCAAAACGGTCAAAACATTAATTTGCAAAACTACTCATAGTTTTCACTGCAATATTAAACAACATTCAAAGTGATATAACTCATTTTAAAGCATGAAACACGACCACAAGAAAAACACGCATTAACCAGTTAATATTCTTCTTTCTATAATAATTAGTATCTTTTAAGGCTGCACTTTGAGGTCTTCCACGCAAACAAAAAAATTGATTATTCTTCAAAAACATTGCACTATTAATTATTACATCTGACTTAGCTACTTACAACGGAGCAGAGGAGGCTATATTGTACCATATATAATACCCTACTTTTGCGTGATGTTACTAATTTTAGTTTTAATTTTAATTTGAGGGAAGCAAGAAATCACAAAGAAATTATTTTACCGACTTTACAGAGAGTTATTATTCATTTTTAAAATATAAAAGAGGAGTAAAATCTGATCAGTTTTAAGAGTGACTGAATATGACATTTTGCAGTACTGAATACATGGTAAATGTCTTATTTTATAGGTCATTATTATCTATAGTTCGATTATAATTCTAATTTAAATATATTTGTGTTTAGATTTGTTTTCAGTTTTAGTGATACATGTGAAAGAACGCTTTATGATAATTAAAAATTTTAATGTTTTGAAATTTATTAAGTAAGTCTATAATTTATTAAGCAAATTCTAAAAAGTAGGTCCTAACAGAATACTCTTTCCTCGAACAACAACATCCAAGCTTACACGTAGACTTTATGAGGCTCTTAGCCGTCTAGTCGGCTGCATTCTTGGAGCAGGTTGAAGCAGAGAGTAGATGGTTTCTGCCAGGAAGATAATACACTGTGAGGCTAAGGCCAGGTCAGTGGTCTTCCTTGGTGGCGCTCATTCACTCCCTCACTTGTAAGTACTATACCATACGCTATATATCAGGTAAGCAAAAGTGTTGCCTTTTCATTTTAAGACCTCTTTTTCTCTAAAAAAAATTTTCCCCCCATTTTCAACATATACTACATACAGTAATTAATTAAAGTGTACGTAGACCCTTTTTGTGAAAAAAATCCAATTATTCGAATTTTTGATTATTCGAATAGGGTCCGGTCCCAATTAATTCGGATAATTGGAGTTCTACTGTAGTATAATTTAGAAGTCACTATATGATTATAAATTATAATCATTCATTTCATTATCTAAATAATTTGGTACTTTTCCGTTTTGCCGGCGCAGGCGATAAAGTCGCCAATAATGGTACAGCTGATGCCAAGGGGAATATCCCCGCTGGTAACCTTTTACGCCTCATTTTCAAAACAAGTAGCAGCCATTTCTTATCAGATTGGTAGTTTCTTTCAATACTGGCATACAATAACATAGAATTTTTACCCAGATATTTCAATTTTATGCCCTAAGGCCATTCACGGTAGTTAAGTCAAATAGGATGCAATCACACCGCTCACCCGAAGGCAAAGATATAGAAAAGGCAAAGGGTTAAACTCATCAATTCTAATGAGAATGCACTAGCAAAGTAAAGCACATTGATCAAACTGGGTTAACCTAAATGTTCCGCTTACTTTCCAAATTTAACTGTTTGAAAATATAAGTGAAATGTTGATAGTATTCTTCTGTTCATTATAATAGAAGTCAACTCGGTTTCTTTTGTTTTTCTAACAGCTATTGGAGGAACATTAATTTTGAGTTAACTATAGACGCCATCCCCAGTATTACGCTGGTTAATCGGGAATTGACTGTAATGCTTTAATACACAATTCGATCTACAGTCAAAATGTAAAATATCTAGAAACAACTCTCAAACACAGTTTAGGTAAAAATAACAAAAATTTTAAGTTAATGCTTTTAGTATTGTGCTGACGATTTCTTGTTCTTTTGAAGCAGTAGTGATTGAGGTAAGACAGTGCGGTGGATGCATCTAACAATTTTACGTAATTCTAGTTTTCCGATGCCAAATGAAACTGAAGCAATCGAATCAATCGACCGCTAGATTTCCCCCTTTCCCTCTTCTGGGAGACAGAACCCTCTCTTTTGAGGAAAAATCCCCAAGCAGATGGGGAAAATCTCTTTCTACCCGCAACGATCGACAAAAGAGCACCGAGAGCCTGCAGGAGGAGAAAAGAGGAAGATAGAGAGGGGAAGGGTGGGGAATGGATCCAGAAAGGGGGCGAGGGAAGAGGGAGACGGCACAAGCAGTTTGCTTCTAAAACCGTCGCCGGTTCCCGTCCGTCAGATAGCTACGTATTACCAGCCCGCCTTGGTTTGCTTTTACTCTGCCTCTGTTCGTTCCGTTTGTCATATTTTTTGAGTTGGAATCCTTGTGTGTTTGTTGTATCTGTGTCCTGTGAGCGTCTGGACGAGTTTCTGTCGACATACACATTCCGTTCAAGAAGTTCATTCAACCTCCGAACTGCTCCCAGAAGCGCAAGAGAGTTCGGTTTCTCAAGTCTTCCAAGGAACTAACTGTTGTTGCTCATTGCCGTAGCCAGAGGCTCTCTTGGCCACTCTCTTCTCCTCTACCGATATCCACCCAAGCCTAAAAACGGAGTTGGACGACCATTCGGAAGAGTCAGGTACGTACAGGGATGCCCGGGAGCGGGAGATCGAAGAAGGGATGCTAAATCCAAGATGGCGGCTCCCGCTCGGGTAGCCGACACTTGCAAAGCAGCATGGGAAGGGGTTTTTCTCGCGGTTGAAGCGGAACATTTCACGAAATGACGCTTGGATAGGTTTTTAAAATTCCACTTTTCTTTGAAAAATGGATGAAAGCGTTGAAGAACTCCTAATCAGCTGCTACGATTGTAGTTTTATTAGAATGTTTAAAGAAGTATTTTAAATGAAGGAATTAAATTTGATTAGGTAGGGTATTAACCAGGGTATAGAGTTGTGAAAAATTCGCAACTTTTAAACATGTTTAAATAGAGTTTTACTGCAGAATTTCAGAAAATTATATGTTTATTTAAACAGGACTGCCACTCTGTTGGAAAACCCTCAGAGTTCGGAGAAATGAAAAATAATTAAGAATTTTTTCCCTAATAATAAAATAATCTTTTTTTCTTTCTACAAAAATCTTAGAATAATTAAGTTTTATCAAGTAATAAGAGTTTGTGTTTTAAATAAAATTCAGTAAACAAACATTTCCCCTCTTAAAAAAGAAAACAAATATAGAGTTATTGTATCATTGTTTTTCTTGACCCCATCTCATATTTGATACTATTTTATCACTGCATTTATCACTGCTCTTCTACATTTATTAGTGAGCTGTTCGCTCTTCGGCCTAGAAATGTATTTATGCTGTTTCTCCTTCCTTTAAAAATATAATTACCTATCACTATAAATAATATAGTTAATAAGTCATTGAGCGGCACTGACCTACATTAGAATCAGTTACTATAATAATTAGGTATACTTTTGATTCAGAGGAGTTATTATATCCTCGATTTTAATTTTGAATACAATAGTGACGTTTATTAAGAATAATGTAATATTATAAAGCTGTTTGCAGAATGAACAGTTTCTTTATTTTTGTGCTTCTTTTCAAAAACCTACCTATTTTTTGAATGGCTCATAAATATTTGCTTTTCAATGATGATTTAAATTTTAATATAATTCTTGGTTGTATATTATTCGATAACTCATATTTAAGTTAATAACTATTTAGCTCCATTGTTCTATTTGATCATGGAAAATTAGGAAAATTAAAAGTTAAATTTCAATTAGGAATCCTGTTAATACTCTCAACTCAAAAATAAGATTCATGAGAGATTTTGAAATCAATCATGATGATTAACAGAACTTTACAAGAGTCTTCCCACCTCCCAAAGAATTTCTTGGGAAAATGAAGGTGAAAAGGGATAGTATGCATTCTTATTATTTACATTAATTTTAAAGTTTTCTTAGCAATGATTGGAGAGTAAGTTCATTGGTTATATGTTCTGAAATGTAAGCGAAAAATTATTACGCATTTTTATATCTGCAGTTATTCCAGTTTTATTCCAGGTACCTTTAGTTAGGCATTAACAAAACAAACTTTATTAAGTGTAATTAGTTTTAAACTTAGAAGTATGCTTTCTCCTGTCAAACACAGTTTTACTTAATAAGTATATTTATGATGTGAAAATTCAATAAAATGAAAGTCAGCATCAGTCATAATCATTCAGTATGTTTACTTATGATTTTGGTCTTTAAATGCACGTTTATTTAAAATATTTAAGTGTAGCATTGACTTAAATATTTCAATTAAAACTGTCAAGAACCTCCGATCAGAGATTATATAAAATCGTATTCATTATATTTTCAAACTGAACTATATGGAAAATTCTATCTGTAAGCGAAATTTCAGGGAAAAGGGCATGGTAATTTCATACAATTAATATAAAATGTAGCATTTTTTAGAAATTAGACTTACATATCTAGCTTGTTCAAGGTAAAGGATTAGAAAAATTCTTTGATAAAAAATCCAGAAACTGAGAAAACTCCAGTCGGGATTGAACTGTATGTGTATTATTTGTTAAGAGAAATGCTTTGAAATTTCCCATTATTACAATGCTAGATTCGTTTGATCATGTAAAAGCAGAATTCATGGAAATTTCAATATTCTCTCGGAAAATATTTGTCAGAAATATTTATACATGTTTCCGTGAGAAATATTTGAATGAATTCAAAGTACATCGGCTTTGATTCTTTTCCCATTACAGGGTTTTTAAAATTTTGAAATGAAAATGGCAGCAGCTAAAAGTGCTACTTAAGAATTTCAACTAAAACTGGTTTAAATACAAAATTTTTTACTGGTATTCATGAGAGGAGTCTGAAATTCAATGTTAAATCCGATTAAGTTTTTTTTTCTTTAAAGTGTTTTGTTTTTGAATATTAAATACTATTATTCATGGAAAAATTATATGAAGTAAAATCAAACAATTATTTCTAAAGTAAGACGTGAACTATATTTACTGAAATAAGTTACATGTTTCAATTTTTTAAGCTTCATTTTTACGAGAATTCAGTTTGAAAGTAACTTGTAAAAAAACTCAGTTAAGTAATTTGATTAAAAGTACAGAAAAATTTCAGGTTCAACAAATATTTAAATTTTGCAAATGCCTTTTTGTTACTTTTGTGGAAAAAATCATCTTTTAATCAAGTTATCAACATTTATGTTTGCTTTCTACGGTTACTATCATTTCTGTTTACTACTATTTTTATCTACTATGAATACTTATAATAACTGTGTAAGAGTTAACCTTACATAACAGACACGTAAATGTAATATTTTTAGATAATCAGTATATAGAAATATTGATTATAATGAATGCATTTATCTATTATTATGTGTATTAATGAATACATTTATTAATGATCTATTAAACTATTTATTAGAATAAGCATTAAAGAACATTATTGTATCTAATTTTATATTTAATAATATATATTATATAGTATCTGTTTCTATAGTTACGCGTATAAGAGCTACGAAGTATTTAACCTTATATAATAGGCACTTGATATGTAGTATTTAGTATCAGGAATTATGTTTTTCATGAATATATATAACTCATTTGTTTGGTGTATTACGTTGAAATAATAATTAGGTAATAATTAGGTATAACTTTCTAGATTTCATTCTGGAAAACACTTAAATTGTATCTAATTTTGTATTTAATAATATCTAATTTTATATTAATGTTTTTATACATTATTTTAATGTTACAGATACTACATATTATTTTAATGTTACAGATTACTACATTTATTTAATTCGGCTTCCCCCAAAAAATTTTTTTGTGCGTGTACTTTATGACAACCACATCAACAAATTTGAGATTTTCCGAAGTTCAGTGTCTGGTATGGCCTAAAGTATAATAACAATTTTCTCCTTTTTTACTTCACTAAAACTAACATATACTTCAGTCTGGTCTCACAAGTTACAGATTTTTTTTTTTTTAATCTAATGGCCGTCACTTGCTTATTCGACAATGGCCAATCGTAAAGGCCATCGTCGTGGTGGCCATTCTATTGTAGAGGCACCCAATAGGCGGCCACCGTTGTCTCCTATGAAAATACGGACAGTTACAACCATACCTTCTCAGGGATTCGAACCCGGGTCCTCTATAGCAGTAGACTCCCCTAACCACTATAGCGTCTGAGAGACTGTTACAGAATGTTTTAATTTTTTTTCCAATAGAATATGAGGGCAGGTTAAAAAATTTTAGGTTTTTAAAATTATTTTTGTCTTCGCCATAAAACTTAACCTTCTGTCCAAAGATGATAAATCAGCTTCTATTAGTCAGTAACTTCATTCTAGAGTTTCAGATTGCTTACATTTCAGTGATTTTGAGAAAAAAAATTAAAGATTTTATTTCTTCCTAAGGCGTTTATCTCTTTTCCATGCGACCATTCTGCTCAGCAAAATGAATTTTTAACATTTCCTGGAATAAATTGTCACGGCAAAACAGACTGCTCACTCAGTTTTGCCGTAAATATGGAGCCGCCCAAACGTTGAATCATTTTAATATTTTTTATACTACTGCGTTGTGTTCTACAAAAAATCCAAAAACCCTGATGGTCTTTCATTTTATGCTTTAAATAACATTTTATTATATTATTTATAACCTTATAAGGTATTTCTCCCGCCTTTTTAGCGTGCCTTCGTGGTGTAGTGGTCAGCATGCTGGGCGCGTATTCCAGAGGTCCGTGCTTCGATTCTAGGCGAAGGCGTTGCTCATTTTTCATCTTGCCTGCTTCCAAAAATGCCTAATGTCTCTACAGTGGCGCCCGAACTAAAAGGGTGGTGGATGATAATTCTCCACACCCAGGATTTGGCGATTGGGTCCCCTAAAACTCCAGTCGCCCTTTAAAAAGGAGGTGTATATAAGATATTTCTTTCGCCTTCTTAGCGTGCCTTCGTGGTGTATGCTGGGCGCGTATTCCAGAGGTCCGTGGTTCGGTTCCCGGCGAAGCCGTTGTTCATTTTACTTCTTTCCTGCTTCAAAAACAGCCTAATGCCTCTGAAACCTTTCAAGTTAAGGATTTTGGTAGCTTTAAATAACTTTTAATTTTCTAGAACATTTGCGTTCTGGAAGCAGTCATGATAACAAAATGATGTTTGTAATCTTAAAGTCTGCATCGTAAATTTCAAATTGGAAATGAAATTTTGCTCGAAACATAGCTTCTTCGAATGCCACAACAAAGCAAATAGTGATATCAGAGTTCTCAAAATAGTTTTATAAGGAAAGTATTAATTCAAAAAAAAAATATGAATAAAGCTCTAAATAAAGAATATAATTACGGTAGTTCAAGTAAATATAAAAATTCTGTATGCATAGTTTTCTGTTTTTTTTTTTTTTTCATAAATTAAACAGTATAATGCTGTTTCTATCATGAAAACTTAAAATGAGTGCATGATGCTAGTACATTGCCAATGAAATGGAGCTAATAATAGGACATTGCGCCTATAAAAAGCCACTAACATGGAATAACGTATTAAGCTGTGTTTTCGTGACATTTTCAGTATTTTCTATAGAGATTAGTTATCTCCAATACACTTCAGAACTAATAATTTGTTGCTAAATTTTTCCAG